GTAAAAATAATATGCTTGATGGTTTTCTTACACAAAACTTGCTTTTTGAAAAGGCGAATCGTTTTGTGCTCCTTTATTTCATACCGAATTTTGGTGCTGTCAAGAAAAAGGCTTCGTAAAAGAGGCAGAGACAGTGTGGAAGAATAAACTGATAACTTTAGAAAAATGGACAGTGGGTTTGTACTGAATGGGAGTGTTGATACTACATGGAAAATTTTGCGAGTATTATCGAAGTAGAAAATGAATTCAGTTGATGAATTAGTTGAATAAGCGTCAGAGAGATGAGTGGAAGCACCGGGAGAACTGGGAATATACCAACCGGTCATCTAAAAATGACAGTGCGTGTTGCAACTGTTGGTCGAACGAACAAAAATGGACGTGTCCCCCCCCCCCCCCCCGCTCCCACCCCGGAAAAAAAGTTCACGTTTGGAACTTGCGGAAAGCACGAGGAAGAAGGCAACAACCAAACCTAAGCTATCCTATGGCTAGTAGAGCACATAAATGTACTAAATTAGCCCTATGATGGCATTTATTAGGCCTAAGATGACTTATTTAGATCTATGATAGGTTAAGGTGTACAGTTACAGTTCCACTTTTTGGCATGCCATTTGCAGTATTCAAATAGTGCAAAACGTGAACATTTTGTGGTACAACCGTCCATTTTTGGTACAACCGTCCATTTTTGGTACAACCGTCCATTTTTGTGGTACAACCGTCCATTTTTGGTACAACCGTCCATTTTTGTGGTACAACCGTCCATTTTTGTGGTACAACCGTCCATTTTTGTGGTACAACCGTCCATTTTTGTGGTACAACCGTCCATTTTTGTGGTACAACCGTCCATTTTTGTGGTACAACCGTCCATTTTTGTGGTACAACCGTCCATTTTTGTGGTACAACCGTCCATTTTTGTGGTACAACCGTCCATTTTTGTGGTACAACCGTCCATTTTTGTGGTACAACCGTCCATTTTTGTGGTACAACCGTCCATTTTGTGGTACAACCGTCCATTTTTGTGGTACAACCGTCCATTTTTGTGGTACAACCGTCCATTTTTGTGGTACAACCGTCCATTTTGTGGTACAACCGTCCATTTTTGTACGTTCGACCAATAGTTGCAATTAATACTATGTTTGGGGGTGGATTTGAATATACAGTATACCGGAATATATTTTATAGTAGTAGTTCTTAGGCCTAACTTTTTTTTGTCTCGTATTCCTTTGAGAATCTATTGAACCCATACAAGTGCACACTCACGCTATTTCAAAGTAACAGGAAGGGACACTATGGAGAAAAATGTTTCTGGCAGCCGTTGACGGACTTCTGAAGCCCTTCCAAGGTGGCCGCTAGGAATCCATGGATGGTATTGACTCAGGGGGCTATCGTGGGAAGCGAAGAACAGCCACGAGGGTCGGGGAAGAAACGCATCCAGTTTACAGAGAGACGGCGGCATTTGTTGGCTAATATTTCAAGGTGACAGTCATCGGTGAGAGTTGAGCAGTCTCTCAAATATGTGAATGATTATTGTTAAATTTGTACATATGTGATGGAATGAATACATGTAATAAATATGAGGGCTAAGGTCTTTTTTTTTAATTAATTTTTTTCGATTCTTTGTTCCCATTGAGTTTTCCACAAGTCTTTGTTATACACTTATACATTATTTTCCGAAAGTTTCCGTTTTTTCGAAACATTAAATTTATTAATTTTTATTACCTTATCATACACCGTTTTGTCTGTTTAACTAACGTTTTCACATACATATTTTAACGTCATATTCGACCCACGAAGCACTTCCTCTCATTGTGATACGTATCTCCGTATACGTATCTAAGCTCCGTCACATACCAGCTTAGCATTACCTGCCAAGCATTCCTTGTATACCCCCATCATCACATGATTCATGTGCTCTACTGTCTTCACAATCTCTTCCTGCAAGTTGACCAGACCACACACTAGAAGGTGAAGGGACGACGACGTTTCGGTTCGTCCTGGACTATTCTAAAGTCGATTCTTCCTGCAAGATCAGTATCAATCCTCCTTGTGTACTTGTTTGATAAATCCACCTTCTCCCCTCCTAGTGCTACCATGTGATCAGATAACTCTTCAGGTATTTCCTCTTCATGCCGCTGCTGTATCACCTCAGAATGCCTCTTTATATTAGCACGTAATCGAGTAGGGACTTGTTTCGTCATGTATACAATGCTAAGTTTATTTTTGTATGTTTTACTTAATACATCAGTTAGTCATATATAATGAACAAATCCATAAGGGACATGATGTGAGTTCGAAGCAGAACCCTCGGGTTAGAACTGGTCGGCCGAGCGGCTGGGAGCTGGTCGGCCGAGCGGACAGCACACTGGACTTGTGATCCTGTGGTCCCGGGTTCGATCCCGGGCGCCGGCGAGAAACAATTTGATGGGAGCCGGTCGGCCGAGCGGACAGCACACTGGACTTGTGATCCTGTGGTCCTGGGTTCGATCCCAGGCGCCGGCGAGAAACAATGAGCAAAGTTTCTTTCACCCTATGCCCCTGTTACCTAGCAGAAAATAGGTACCTGGGTGTTAGTCAGCTGTCACGGGCTGCTTCCTGGGGGTGGAGGCCTGGTCGAGGACTGGGCCGCGGGGACACTAAAGCCCCGAAATCATCTCAAGATAACCTCAAGATAACCTCATGATAGCAGATTAAGGCGCAGCTGGGAACATCCCGTGCGTGGGTTCGAATCTTCATCACGGCCCGTAGATTTGTTCATTTGATATATCACGCTATTGTGATTTGTGTGTTTAGTCACATATAGCTTCATTTCTTTGCACATGTCTGAATCTACAGCAATTGTTATTTGTGTATTTACACGTCGAAATTCCAGTTTTTTGCCAGTCAGAAGTCTTTGGTCTTGAAAATGATCACGACTATGAATTTACACTACCACGCCCCCAGTTCCCCTCCGCCCTCACCACAGGGCAGTCTTAACATCAATGTGTAGGCTCGTGGCTATACAATGGGTCGCCCCCTACCCGGATGATGGGGCCCCCACCCGTCCCCTGAAGTGTAGGATAAGTCACATAGTCATGCACAAATTATTTATCTTTGTGTAACTTGAAAAGAGATTTGAATCCCAGACCTCTCCAGTGAGAGGTCGAATAATTATTTACTCTGCCAAGAAGAGATCTCATGAACAATGTGGCATCATGGGGGCCTCCTAGAATCATGGGGGGGACCCTAGAATCATGGGGGGGGGAACCCCTAGAATCATGGGGGGGGGCCTCTGGGCAACTGCTCAGTGTGCTCTCATGCGTTAAGACGGGACAACTCCGTCACTATCCTTTTATATTCACTCACTGTCACCAGTCTGCTCACACGCACACAGGAATACAAAAAAATATTTTAATCTAACATTCTCTGTTGGAACCAAATTTGACATGCTCAAGTTAGAGCTAGTGTTTTTGTTGGGGAATTTTGTTGGTTTGACATTTTGAATAGGCTTATTTTTAAAGAAATTTGTGCGAGATTGTCTTGAAAAGTAGAGAGGGTAGCAACTTGTTACAGGGTATGACGAGTTGTATCGAAGGTCTAGGTGAATAGAAGCATCATATGAAAGGAAATTTGCCCAACCATTTCTGTCCCACCTGGAATTCGAGATTGTGGGTCGAGAACGTAGCCACTGTACTACAGGCGGCCTATTGATTAAATCGTGTCATTTGTTCTCCGTGTACTCTCCGTATCCCGCCAGACACCACCAGGGTCCGTCTGGCCGTCGCCGTGACCTCTGCTGGCGAGGTCCTGGGAACCACTTGTCCAGGGAGTGTGTGGTGGTGGTGGCGCCTCCCAGCTCCACCCTCGCTCCGTGGGGATGGCTCTCACACTGTCAGAGAACCCAGACTCTGGGACGTGTCCTCTCCATTGTATCGTTGTGCAGCGTTGCGCGTTTGCATTCTGTGGTCGGTGGCCATTTAGATTCCTCTCACCTCTTAAGGAGTGTTTTTGTCGCTTCAACAAGATTCATCTTGATTTTCCAGTGGTGGTGATAGTGAGTTCTCTCTTGTTTCCTTGCTTGTTTTCTTGCCTATTGTCTTTATAATTTTTTTTATTTTCCTTGGCTTCTTTTGGGTTGTGTAGCTTGTTTGTTAAGAGGCAGTAATGTGTATTTTGGCTACACCATGTGTTTGCCTTGTATTGGTTCCGAGCACTAATCACATGATCATGTATCCTGGCTGGTGGTCTGGTCAACCAGGCTGTTAGATGCCGCAGTTCGCAGTCTGGCGTATGAATCACAGCCCGGTTGATCAAATATTCTTGGAAGGGTTTTTATAGTATTCTATTGAACACAGAGACGGGTCGGCTAAGTATGCCTCTTATGTTTAGAGGGAGAGTGTAGAAAAGTATTGGACCCTTGATGTTAAGTTTTCTGCTTTTCAACGGGGCTATTTTGCATTTCCTGCCATGCCTCCTGGTCTCGCAAGGAATTATTTTCGTGTGCAGAATTGGAACCAGTTCCTCTAATATTTTCCACGTGTAAATTATTACACGTTTCTCGCAATGTTCTAGAAAATACGGATATAAACATTTGAAACGTTCCCAGTAATTTAGGTGTTTTATTGAATGGATTCGTCCAGCAAAAGATCTTTACAAATTCCTCAGGTCAGCAATTTCTCCAGCTTTGAATGGGGCTGTAAGTGTGCAACAATATTCCACCACAGAGCACTAGTCTTGTAGTATCATCATTGGTCTGGCATGTATTGTTTGAAAGGTTCTAGCCGGGTACTGTACAGGGGCTGTGTACGTAGCGACAGGGGCTGTGTACGTAGCGACAGGGGCTGTGTACGTAGCGACAGGGGCTGTGTACATAGCGACGGTTACTATACACACAGTAACAGGAACTATATATTTAGTGCTGGGTGCTATACACATAGTAACAGGAACTATATAGTAACAAGCGGTACATAGTAATACACAAATACATGGTACTAACAAGCGCCACATAATGTGCAAGGGCCACCCACCGCGGTAGGGTTTGCAGTACCTCCTGTGAGGAAGGCGAGGCGGAACCTCTCCAGCACGTCGTGGGGCGGCTGATGTAAATGAGATCTTCCCTCCGGAACGCCATTTGACCTCTTCAGAGACGAACCCCGGCGCTAGGACTCCTCCCTCGGCTCTCTCTCTCTCTCCCTCCCCGTGCTGTTGATAATAGATATGATGGAAAGTGTGGCGAGATGTTGGCCTTAGGTGCAGGTATAGGATGTTAAGGTTGTGAGGCGAGGGAGGGCAGGTTGTGAGGCGAGGGAGGGCAGGTTGTGAGGCGAGGGAGGGCAGGTTGTGAGGCGAGGGAGGGCAGGTTGTGAGGCGAGGGAGGGCAGGTTGTGAGGCGAGGGAGGGCAGGTTGTGAGGCGAGGGAGGGCAGGTTGTGAGGCGAGGGAGGGCAGGTTGTGAGGCGAGGGAGGGCAGGTTGTGAGGCGAGGGAGGGTAGGTTGTGAGGCGAGGTGACGGAGAGTGGCGTGGCGGATGTGAGAGGCTCGTTTCCCGCCATTCACTTGCGTATATAGCGACTTCGTGTCTATGTGTGTAATATAGAATATTACATAGAGCTGCTTCGACACCTGGGGATATAACTCGCCTGCAGACACCGTGCTGCAGGTGTTATATTGCCTAACACGTATACCATCCTTGATTTATACCTTCATTATATGAATCTTAAGAAAAAAGATGAATGTAATTAAAGAATTATGCTTTGTTAGAACTCGGTTGCTGGGCGTTTCCCCACATTCCTTTGTTATCTAAGGTGGATCATATCTCGTGACTGAAAACCGTTTCTTTGTGGAGGTGGAAGGTTCGAGAGGGCGGCAGCGTGCAGTGTGCTTCCCGCTGTGTCCACGTCGTCCATACACCAGGGTGGCGGGGGCAGTGTTGAGGAAATATAGGGCTATTGGACAGTATTAATGATGAGCTGGTTGGGTGCTCGCCGCCAGGCAGGCTGTCCCTCCTCCGTGTGGTTGGCGCAGGTAAGGGTCGCCGGCGGGTAGACTGTGGGTGGCCCACTGCTGGTGTGGGTGTTCTTACCTATCACTGACTACGGCGCAGTGAGGGCTGACTCTTTATGCCCCGCCTACTACTATTCTTGTTGTACCCGTTGCCTTAAACCTTTGCTATTCTAACAATCGATATCTTTGTCGAACCTTTGCTTAAAGTTGTGAATGGAGGTAGAAGCCACAACTTCTTAGTGTGTCTATGGACTCTGTGTTTACTATTTGTCTGCTGAGTCGAGCTATTAGCTTTTGGACCCCGCCTTTCTAACCAGTCTATTTTGCCTTTATGTCTAGTACATATATTTCTCTCTAACACAAGCGCGCGCACATTCCCAGGAAGCAGCCCGTATCAGCTGTCTATCTCCCAGGTACCTATTTACTGCTAGCTGAACAGGAGCATCAGGGCGAAAGAAACTATGCCCATTTCTTTCTGCCTAGGCCGAGAATGGAACCCGGGCCATTAGGACTACGACCCCCAAGCGCTGTCCACTCAGCCGTGAGGCCCCACTGTGTCTGGCCCCAGTGGGCATTCCAAGGGTTGAAATACGGGTGATCGAGGGCCCACGCTGCGCCGGGATGAATACCTTGTACTCTGGGTAACTCCACTCTACGCTGAGAGGAGCGGCCTGGTGGGTTGCCACTAGGAGAAATCACTTCCTTTAGCGTCCCGTCGCGCGTTATCTTGGCCCTCGCGTGCATCACCGCCATACACGGTATTTTTAATTACTTTTTTTTTATTACGCATCCCATGGGCGGTGGGAGACATCTCTCGTCACGCAGGGTGCAGTCGCACCTCCACAGATCTCCAGTATCATCTATTGATACTGGTAATGGCTCAAAACGACCACCACTTACGGGCTATTTATGCCCGTGCCACCTCTTGGGTGGCTTAATCTTTATCAGTCAGTTGGGTTTGTTTTCGTATTATCGGTTTGTCAGTACTTAAACCATTTTTAATTTTGATATATTTTTTTTTACAACGCAATGGGTATACAAAAATTAAGGCGAGCTTCACCCATGCTTTGTTAAGAGTTTAGTGGTGATCTAAAAATATTCTTGTGTAATTCTTATTCTTGCTAGCGGTAAATAAGAGGCGGCGAGGAGAGCAAGGCACGACCACTCGCTGACAGGCAGGGTCGTGGGATCCAGCCGGGTTCACAACTGTTTATCACGGGGCAGTAAACCTGAAACAAAGGTATTATTGCCTTCTCCAGGCTGTTGCTCGGCCCAGAGTGTACCTCCCTACCTGTATTCATGTAGGTAAGCTTGCGGGGGTTCAGCATCAGCTCATGGGCCCTGCCTCTTTGTCAATGCCTATCTTTGGGGCTGTGCACGAAGTCTGTTTCCACCTGTTCACTTCCTTGGTCATTTAATGTTTTTACTACAGGTATTTAGGTTTCGCCTGTGTGTGTGAGCGTTATGGCAGTGTCTACTTCACCAGTCTCGGACCACTGGGGCTCTCATTTTTTTAGAATTAATAACGAGACGTTGGAATGGTTTATAACAGGTTTATAATTATGTTAATTACCCAATTTTGCCCGAGGCCCACCATCTCAGGTGGCCCCGACGGGGACAAAGTCGGCGGCTTGTGAAAGGTGGCCTCTACTATTCCTGCAGGTCTTTCCAGTTGAATTTTCCGTTTTTTCGGCTGCGACGGGTAGGCTATTCTATAGATTTAATACACTATGGGTAAAGAAACATTTGCAGTTTATCGTACATTATAGCTTGTTGAGTTTGAACCTTTTGTTCCTTGTGGGTTTACATTGGACCTTAGACAAAAGAATATCTAAATTAATGTCTTCCATTTGCTCACTCTACATTTGGTCATCCCTACATCAGAAGTGGTGCAGATTTATACTATACAGTACTATACATTACGATATACTATACAGTAGTATAGATTACCATATACTAAGAGCCAAGCCAAAGGCTAGCAGTAGCAACGTCTGGGAGTGTGTGGATCTTATTGTGTGACAGATGTGGTGCATCGTGCACAGTAGTATGATGACAGATGCAATAGTGTAGATTTCACCTTGTATCAAGTCTTAAATATTGCGGAAGTTTTCAGTATATTATTCCCCCTCATGCCAATATGGGTTAGAATCCTCAGGAGACATTTTTATACATGTCCTCCCTGTTGGTATGACAAACACCCTTTCGATATCGTTCTCGGTTTTACTAATGTCGGTTGTGGAGCGTTAGTTGGGAATGTTTTTGATCCGGATATGGTGACGAGCAGAAGAGCCCATGGCATTCGAATTTTCTCCAACACTGACTGTGGCCTTGCATTTCTCTGGTGTTTGAGGAGTCCACCCAACCCAGACTCGTTTCTAAATGGAGGCAGCATATCTTGCGTGGCCCAGACATGTTATTATGAGCTGACCTTTGATAGACTGGCATGGTTCTCCTGATCTCTGGTCGCTCAAGGCTGTTCACAGTACATCCTCCTCTTCAGTTTTACAAGGTCTTGGTTTTGTCGAAAGTGGTGTATAGATGTAAACTCTGTTGATAGAACCATAAGTTATCTTCCAGTCAGCCCCTCTAATATTTGTCAAATGTTACATTTAAATCTCTGTTGCGGATTTAACAGATTTACAGATTTTTTTTTTACATATTAATTTTATGAATTAAAAAAATTAGATTGATTTTTAACAGATTAATACAGATTTAACATTTTTAATTGGTCCCAATAATTTAAATGTTTTAGAGAGTAGATTCGGAAGATAAAAGACCATTGAACGTTCTCCAGGTCAGCAATTTCTCCGACTTTGAATGGGGCTGTTAGTGTGCACCCAATGTTCCACCCTAGAGAGCACTAGTGTCTTTAAAAGTATTATCATTGGTATGGTATCTCTTGTTTGAAATGTTCTTGCTATCCAACCTTTAATTTTTCTTACAACGGTGACAGCTACTTTATTGTGTTCATTAACAATATGATCTTTTCTCCATGATTATTCTCAAATCATTTATATTACCTTTTCCTTCAATAGTATAATTTGACTACGTTTTATATGGGGTTCCGTTTTGATATTTTTGCTTTATCAATCAAGTTATTTTCTGTGGTGGATGCAGGAGAACTTTGCGTCACAAGGCCTTTGACCTTGTGACACAATTACTGATGGCATGGTGTTGGTATTGTGATCAGGGAACACAGTTTCCAGCTTGCTTGATCTTTGGGTAATAGGCTAACTCCTCAGTCTTCACGCATATTGCTCAGACTTTAATCATAGGACCAGTATGCTTATTACTCACCTCTCCTTGCTATGTATCCTCGTTAGTCGAGTAGAATGTCTGAAGATCGCTCCTGGGTTTGCTGGAAGTGTTGTGTTGCGGATAGTAAAGGCGATGCTCCAAATTGTATTTTAAATTGGTTTAATTACCTAAGCACCAACCCAAATAAAGTTAAATAATTTTATATTTTAACCAACATTTTTTTTCGATGAAGGAGTGTTAAGCTAATTACACGTTACCACTCTGGCCCAGTGTGGTATTATTTGTCGTGGGGTGACGGTATCAGCATATTGCTCAGTGCTGCATATTAGGGCATTTGAGAGTGTAAGTGGTGAGCCCCCCCTCGCCAGGTGGGGTTAGCATGGTGGGAGTGTGTAGATGCACTCACCTCATTACTCCCAACCCGGGTGATGCCAAGTGTCTTGTGTGGCGGCCTAGTGCGCAGCAGCCTACTCTACGCAGATCTACTCATGGTTGTGGGGAGGTAGTGGGGGAAGCTGCCGTGGTATGGGAGATAATGATAAGGCGATAGTGGGAGAGTGGAAAGTTTAGGCTGGTGCTTGGTGGAGGGGTGGGGGGGGGGGTAGAAGTGGAGGTGGTTAACCCTCCACCCCCACACCCTTTGTTCACCCTCCCGCACTTTCACCCTATGTCCCCCCCTCCCCCCCCCCCTCACCAATCTGTCCTGTCAGTGTGATTGAGGGTGGTGTGTGTATGTAGACTAGTGTTTGTTTAACGTGACACTGCGTGATGTGTTTTAATAAGCTGTGAGTGGGTGTGTGAACAAGTGTCCCGGTGTTCGTCGGAAAGGCATGCCAAACACGCCTGATAAGAGGTATTGAGAGCGGTCAGGCTGCTGGTGGCTCCTGGGCTGCTTACCTATAACAGTCACTACGGGTAAATGTGGTCTAGCGCGCTCTGCCCCGCCTACTACCCGTCTTGTACCTGTTGCCTTATAATTTGTATGACGTGCGAATTGCATTGGTATAAATAACATGCGGTAATCACTGCCAACGGGAATGGCGAGCGTAGAAAACGGGTTGAAGCTTACCACGTGCAAACACTTTCGTGCTTCGTTTTCTGACGCAAACACGGAATAATGAGGTACAGATGAGGGAGAAGGGGCAGAGGGGTTGCGAGCGAACGCTTGCTTATTTACTTACCTTCTGCCATGGACAGAGTAAATCTTTTGTGTTTTATATTTGCTAATGTATTTATTTGGATGCAATTCGAATTTTGTAAAGTTTGTTTTTTAAGTAAAAAAAACTGGCTTTAAACGGTTAGCTGCAGCTGTTTGTTATAAATAGGCCTTGGAGTTCAGGTAGTTGATATAAAGTGTGTTTACAGAGCAGCCTCGAAGTGAAAGCTCTTCTGGTTGATACCTGGTTGATTGGGTTCTGGGAGTTCTTCTACTCCCCAAGCCCGGCCCGAGGCCAGGCTCGACTTGTGAGAGTTTGGTCCACCAGGCTGTTGCTTGGAGCGGCCCGCAGGCCCACATACCCACCACAGCCCGGTTGGTCCGGCACTCCTTGGAGGAATAAATCTAGTTTCCACTTGAAAATGTCCACGGTTGTTCCGGCAATATTTCTTATGCTTGCTGGGAGGACGTTGAACAACCGCGGACCTCTGATGTTTATACAGTGTTCTCTGATTGTGCCTATGGCACCTCTGCTCTTCATTGGTTCTATTCTACATTTTCTTCCATGTCGTTCACTCCAGTACGTTGTTATTTTACTGTGTAGATTTGGTACTTGGCCCTCCAGTATCTTCCAGGTGTATATTATTTGATATCTCTCTCGTCTTCTTTCTAGTGAGTACATTTGGAGGGCTTTGAGACGATCCCAATAATTTAGGTGCTTTATTGCATCTATGCGTGCCGTATATGTTCTCTGTATTCCCTCTATTTCAGCAATCTCTCCTGCTCTGAAGGGGGAAGTGAGTACTGAGCAGTACTCAAGACGGGACAACACAAGTGACTTGAAGAGTACAACCATTGTGATGGGATCCCTGGATTTGAAAGTTCTCGTAATCCATCCTATCATTTTTCTGGCTGTCGCAATATTTGCTTGGTTATGCTCCTTAAACGTTAGGTCGTCAGACATTATTATTCCCAAATCCTTTACATGCTGTTTTCCTACTATGGGTACATTTGATTGTGTTTTGTACTCTGTATTATGTTTAAGGTCCTCATTTTTACCGTACCTGAGTACCTGGAATTTATCACTGTTAAACATCATGTTATTTTCTGATGCCCAGTCGAAAACTTTGTTAATATCAGCTTGAAGTTTTTCAATGTCCTCAGCCGAGGTAATTTTCATACTGATTTTTGTGTCATCTGCAAAGGATGATACGAAGCTGTGACTTGTATTTTTGTCTATATCTGATATGAGAAAGGAAAAGCAGCGGTGCAAGGACTGTACCCTGAGGTACAGAGCTTTTCACTGCACTTGGACTAGATGCAGTGATACAGATCTTCCTGTAGAGTTACAACTTTGAAATCCACCTAATAAGATTATTCCAAATGTGGAATAATAAACTATTGTACTAAGTTGGACGGAAGTGAATTAACTCGTGACTCCGCTTAGCTAGTACAGCTGGACGGTAGAATGACGGTCTCGCTTCATACAGGCCGGCATTCAATCCCCGACCGTCCAAGTGGTAGGGCACCATTCCTTCCCTCCGTACTATGTGTAGATTGAGTAGTTTCGCGTGACCTGTGCCATCGATGTGGCACAGGTCACATCAATGGCAACTTTAATGGGCTTCCTGGTGGGAGGTTTGATGTGGTGTCTACTTCTAGGCATCTTCCCCTTCCCCTTGAGAGGCTGAGAGTTTCAGGGTATGTACAGGTGGAAGAGCAGGTGTAAGACAGATTAATTCCACCTGTGAGAGACGGGTATGTTAGGTTAGAAGCGGGGAGGAGGAGGAGTGGAGGGCGAGGCGGACAGATGGAAGGGGTAGTCCAGAGTGGTCGCGGATGTTGAGTCATGACCCAATCTTGCACCCGTCCCTTTCCCTTGCTAGCACCCACCCACTCCCCATCCCTGCCAACTCCCACCTCTCCCCCATCCCCCCTGCCAGCATCCACTTCCCATCCCCCTGCCAGCACCCACTCCCCATCCCCCTGCCAGCACCCACTCCCCATCCCCCTGCCAGCACCCACTCCCCATCCCCCTGCCAGCACCCACTCCCCATCCCCCTGCCAGCACCCACTCCCCATCCCCCTGCCAGCACCCACTCCCCATCCCCCTGCCAGCACCAACTCCCCATCCCCCTGCCAACACCCACCCCCATCCCTGCCAACACCCACCTCTCTCCCTCCTCGACCAACACCCACCTTCCCCTGCCAACACCCACTCTTAACATTAAAATAACCTGTTTTTTCAACTATTACACATCTGCTATTCATATAAATGAATTTTACTATCAAGACTGGCACACTTAAGCTCTTGAGCCCTCCCACCTGTCCCCCTCTGTTCCTGCCCCGTCGCCTGACTTCGTCTTGTGTTTTAACATAATGTGGACGCGAGGCTGGAGATATTCCTGAAGTGATCTCTTAACATGGGTGGTATACAAGGTCCTGATTGACTACTTATTCAGATTTCAAAAGGAAGTGTTTATATTGGCCAGTCGGATTATATTCGATTGATGTGGGCTTTGGCAGACAGGTTTGGTGCGATATAGATCACTGTACATTTTGCTCTCTTCGAATTTAGTATGGTTTATTCTTCCCTTTTGGTGCCCTATGGTCGACTTCCTGCCTCTGGACCCAGCTTTATCATTTTTCATGTTTCAGTTAAACTTTAGAAGTTGCTTGTTAAACCGATCTTTTAAGTTATCCAGATCATCTTACAATTTTTTGTCTCCTGTTTATCTTCCTCGATGTTTACGTCATCACTAAATGACAGAGACGTCTGTCCCTTCTGAGAGATCATTCGTTCGATAGGCCTTAGATCTCTGAGTAATACTAGTAATATTGCTCTTCTCAGAGTCCTCACTGGAGCACATTCTCTTCCACTTCAACCAGTTTTCCAACCTGTTAACTAGGCTTTACATATGACTTAGTGTCAATGGCGTTCCATCAGACTAAAAATACGTAGTCTCTGAACCCTTCCGTGTGTTGTCTGCCGGCCGGTCATATTTGTCATGTGTGGGTGGCAAGATTTGCCGTCCCTAAACCCATGTTGGTGTGCGAGGTGGGGGGGGGGGGAGAGACCGGCATGGTGGCCCTGGGGAATGCATGTTGGGGTTGGAGAGCTGATGTGGTAGGTGTTAGGGGGAGGGGAGGAAGGTGTGGAGTGGTTAGTGTGTAGGGGAAGTGGGGCGTGGATGCAAGAAAGGGAGCCGGTCGGCCGAGCAGACAGCACACTGTACACGTGATTCTGTGCTTCCGGGTTCGATCCCGGGCGCCGGCGAGAAACAATGGGCAGAGTTTCTTTCACCCTATGCCCCTGTTACCTAGCAGTAAAATAGATACCTGGGAGTTTAGTCAGCTGTCACGGGCTGTTTCCTGGGGGTGGAGGCCTGGTCGAGGACCGGGCCGCGGGGACACTAAAGTCCCGAAATCATCTTAAGATAACCTCAAGGAAGGTAGGAGGGGGGGGGGGGGTTTGGGCAGTGTGTGCAGAAGTAAGATTGGTTGAGATTTTGTCAAAACCAGATAAATCTAATAAAGGAATAATTAGGCTAGATTTAAAATTTTATAATTTTTCTGGAAGCCGTAAAATTAATAGATATTTTATTGGTTGTTAAATGTGTGTTCAAAGGCATATAAATATTTGTGTTGACATTTTCTCAAGTTATTTGAGACAAGTGAGGAGCGGCAGCGTCTAGCAGAGTCATCCTTGTTTACATGCAGGTGAGCGTCTTCCTTCACCAGGGCCTCCACCTTCTGTAGTGGAGGGGGGAGGGGGGGTGTGGGTGGGTGTTGTGTGGGTGGGTGTTGGGTGTGTGTGTGGGGTGGGGGGGTGTTGGGTGTGTGTGTGTGGGGGGGGTGTTGGGTGTGTGTGGTTGGGTGTGTGTGTGTGTGTAGGTGGGTGTTGTGTGTGTGGGTGGGTGTGTGAGAGGATGTGAGTGTTGGGAAGTGTGGGTGTGAGAGTAAGGGTACTCGCCTAGTTGTGCTTGCGGGGGTGGAGCTTCTGGCTCTTTGGTCCCGCCTCTCAACTGTCAATCAACTGGTATACAGATTCCTGAGCCTATTGGGTTCTATCAAATCTACATTTGAAACTGTGTATAGTGTATATGTGTGTTTGTGTGTGTGTGGTGGGAGTTGTGTGGATATGGGAGTGCCTGTAAGTCAGTATCTGTGTTTGTGTGTAAGACAGACACACAGACAGACAGCGAGTAAGAAAATGAACGAGTAATTACATCAATCAATCAGTGCAATTATCCGATGACTGGAACCGTTGAGGCGTGGACAGCCGCAGTGTCTAAAGTTGACTTAATTCTGCAAAGTTCGAGAGAATTTTCTTTAATATGATGGTAA